AACCCCCTGCATGGGCAGTGACACCTCCCACCAGCCCAGGTTGCTCCAAGCCCCATCCAACCTGCCCTTCAACACTGCCAGGGATGGGGCAGCCACAGCTTCCCTGGGCAACCTGGGCCAGGCTCTCACCACCCTCACACTCCACAATTCCCTCCTCATGTCTCTCCTCAATCTCCCCTCTGCCAGTTTTCATCCCTTCCCCCTTGTCCTCTCCCTCCCTGCCCTTGTCCCAAGTCCCTCCTCAGCTTTCCTGGAGCCCCTTCAGGCACTGGAAGGTGCTTCAAGGTCTCCCTTGAGCCTTCTCTTCTGCAGGCTGAACACCCCAACTCTCCCAGCCTGTCTCCAGAGCAGAGCTGCTCCAGCCCTCCCATCATCTCCATGGCCTCCTCTGGACTCCTCTCAATCAAGTGGGATCAGAAGTGGTTGGAAAATAGTTCCCATTTCACTGGGGTGGCCGTGAGGCTGAGTCTCGCTCCTTCTCACTGCCCCAGTTCCACGTTACAATCCAGCCCCTGTAGTTAAGATGTGTTTATAAAACTGGTTCACATCGGCTGCATTTTTTGTTCCCTGTAATTTACATAGCTGAAGGTGAAGTTCACAGCTTCCCTGTGTTATCCCTTTGGGTTTCCTGCTGGGATGGCAAGAACTCCAAGCACACCCCTGTCCCACAGCCCCTTTCAAGTCTGTGTCTGTGGTGCAGGGTGTTTCACCCAGGTGCTCACCTGCCCACTGACACCTCCCAGACATTCCTCCTTCCCCACAGGCTGTTGTGGTGGCATTTGTCACTCCACTCAGAAGGGACACCACTATCTCTACTACTTTGTGGACTGAGAAGGACTCTGAGTGCATGGAAGTGCCATGTCCTCTCATCAAACCCCAGCTTGTCCGTCAGCACAGTGTATGGTCCATGCCTCATTGTGGCTCTTCACTCTCCTCCTTGGTGACACAGCTCAAAGTGGTGCAGGAGGAACACTGGGAGATGCCACCTTCCTGCCTAAGGCCAGAGAGCCTGACCCCTGCCTGCAGCCCCCTGCCCACATTCCAAGAGGAGATCAGTCTGCTGCCCCAGCACCCACTCTGAACACAGATGGTGGTGAGGTGGCCATAGGACCTTCTAATCCCCATCCTACCATGTCTTCAGGGCAGGTGGTTAATGTTGCCAAAGGGAAGGGGAAGGATGGGAAGGCAAATTAGTGAAGAAGGCACTTGAAGCACTCTGGCCAAATCTCCCGACTCCATTTTGAGGTCGGAATGGGAAGTCCCACCTGCCCTAATGGTTTCCCACCTCCCACCCCCAGGAAACAGGCTCCAGGGGGCAGCAGTGATGCTCAGGGTGGGTGTCCCAGCACTGGAGGCCTCTGCAGGAGCCCAGAGGTGTCTCTTTGCTCCGAGCTGTGTTTGGAAAAGGGCTGCAAACCAGGACTTTGGGAAGTCTTGGTGAAGACATCATTTAGCCAAGACCTCCCCTCTGTGGTGGGTGACAGCAGTGGTCCTCCTGACACTGGGTTTTCCAACTGTGGCATTCCCAGGGCTTTATCCCTGACCCTCTCTGGTGCAAACAAGTGGTCATACTTCACCACTTGCTTCCTGGGTAATGTTTATCTTCATCACCTTTCATCCAGTGGCCGCTGGATTCATGAACCCTCTGGTCCCTGCTTGACCGTGGCCTGAGCAGCATGTTCAGCAGACCCTTTCCCTTGGGATGGCTTGGATGCAACTTTTATTTACCTTTTCCTAACAAGAAGAGCTGGGCCTGGTGGGCCAGGTGCTGCTGTCATGCTGAGTCATGTCATTGTTCTGTGGTCCAGGGCAAACAAAACCACCAAGGCCAGAGGACAGAGCTGGTGCTGGTGACTCATGGCTCTGCATGCCACCTTTAACTTCCTGAGCACCACAGCTTTTGTTCTTTCCCTTTTTCCAAGCAGATGCTGAACTTCACAGATGCAAATTGCCAACCTAAAAGCCTCCCTAAAGCCTTGGAAAAGGAAGATGGTGGCAGGCTCTTGGGAAGGGACTGCATGCTCAGCATGGCTGTGGCCACCTTAGGAGGATGGGAATCCTGCCATGGAAGCTGCTAGCCAGAGGGCCATTGGCACTGACACAGAAGAAATGCAGAGCCAGTCCCATTTACTGGGGCA